ACAGTTGTATCCATTGGGTGCGTGGTGGGAAACCTGTCTAGGCAACGAAGGTTCTTTACAGTGTTTTGGATAGTGAGGACGAGAGGGTTACCCTAATGTTTATTTTTCCTTTTCAACTCTTAGTCATTGAGATTGCTCTTATACACATCTAGATGTGTATAAGAGACAGGTTTTGGATAGTGAGGACGAGAGGGTTACCCTAATGTTTATTTTTCCTTTTCAACTCTTAGTCATTGAGATTGCTTTTTTTTTTTTTTTTTTTTTTTTTTTTTGAAAAAAAACTTCATCTGTTGGTGGGGAGCAGTACCTGCTGGAAACCGGGTCCAGCGTCCCATAGATACAACCATATCCTCACAAATTGGCACAAACTTGGAACCGAACTTTTTTTGGGACATTCGAAAAACTTCAGAAAAATATAAGGGCTCCTTTAGTTTGATAATATGTAGATTTTCAAAATTTGATTGTCGTAAAGCCCTGAAGCCCTATGGGTGGTGTTGCATCAGCAGGAGTGGGAGACTCACCAGTGGCGGTGGGAACGTTTCCCGGGCGCCCTCGCGTGATTGATGGCCTTGGTCAGTCGTTTCATGCCGAGGCTAGGACTTAGGATTTGTGTTTGTTGTCGTGAATTGTCAAAAGCATATGCCCATTCACAGACTCTTGAGGTTTTTAAACGCTGGGGCATGTTTGCAGTGGTTTAGGGTGATAAGAGAGACCCGGTGAAGAGCAAACTAGAGTTGTATCCATTGGGTGTGTGGTGGGAAACCCGTCTAGGCAACAAAGACTCTTTACAGTGTTTTGGATAAAGAGGATGAGAGGGTAACCCTAATGGTTATTTTCTTCCTAGCTTTTAGTTAGTGAGATTGTTCTGTTAGTTTGATACTTTGTAGATTTATGAAACTTCGATTGTCGTAAAGCCCTGAAGCCCTATGGGTGGCGGCGCCATCAGCGGGAGGGGGAGACTCACGAGTGGCGGTACACAGGGTCACCCATGCCTTGAGTGGTGTGGGGAGTGTGCTACGCTCGACTTTGTGTGACCAGGGAATCTCGCTCGTATCTTCACTTCTCATATATTCTGTGGGCGCGGTTACACATCTCTCCCTCCTTTTGAATTCCCTAGGACTCTTTATATGTGGCTGTTCCCTTGGTTGTTTTCAATTGTTTATTTTCTATAGACAATATTAATACGCTCAGTTCCAATTTAGGTTAAGATTAAATTTACTTGGACTGAAATTTTAGAATTGACTTGTTTCTAAGAATTTTTTTTTTTTGGAAAAAAAACGATCCCTCTAGTGCTAGCGATGCTGATGAGAGCAGACACCGCAAGCACCTGGGGACAGGCTCCATCTATTGGTGGGGAGCATCACCTGTTGGAAAGCGGGTTCAGCGTCCCTTATGAGTATCATACAAATTGGAATACATCAGAACACATCAGAGAAAAACGTAGGGAGAACCTGCCAGCATTGATTGCCCTGGAGATCAGGGGATTGACTGAGCAGGGGGGGAGCCTCTTCACTCTGATTTGGGCGCCAGATTTCTATTGCTAAGTACTGGCTTCCTCCTCCCTTTGGTGACCTTCCGAGGACACGACAAGTGAGAAACTGGCTGCCAGCATTGACTACCCCAGCGAGGCTGGAGGGTTAACTGAGCAGCTGATAGCTAATAGCTGAGAAAGAATGAGTTATTGTTTTTGAATCAAAACCTATCAGCATTTGATATACAGAGTTTCGGGGCCCTGCTCCGTTAGGCACAGAAGGGGGGTTGGTAGGTGGCAGTTGAAATGAAAAGAGGTGGGGCCCCTTGCTCCGGGGGGCGACCAAAAGTAGTGGCCCCTTCTGCCATTCTCACTCCTCAGCTATCAAACTCTTCTCCTGTCCAGGTTCAGTGGGCCATCTCTATTCTCTACCCCCTGCCATACCAGCTTAATTCCATCAATGTGCGATCAGGAAGAGCGAAGGGGTCTGGGAAATCTGAGGGAGGGGGGAGGGGGATATCATCCGGGATCGTGGTCCAATCATTGAAACAGAGCCGATAATTCTTCTGTTCGGTCTCCAACCGATCGTCATCATCCATGTGCCAGCCATCTCATTGGACCCTTGCTATCTTCCCTCCACATTCCCCTCCCAGCCATTCCATGCAGAATTCATTTAGGTAGCGAGTGATGTCAGTTTTTTTAGAGAGGGGCTTTGTTGCCTGTGCTAGTCTTGCCCATCGGGTCCTGATTGTCGTCTCTATTATGTCTTTGATTGCCTCTGTCATCTCGCCCCTCTCCATATGTGCACCCTCGATGGTCAATATGCACCGGCGCCTCCAGATGGCCCACAGTACCGCTTTCCTACCAATTGAGAACAGGTTAGAGGTAAAGACCGAAACTTGGGTCGTCCAATGTTCACATAGTAGGGCTTTCCACTCCCATGGCCAGTCGGTATCGGTTTCGAGGGTTGCCCAAATTCTTGCTCACCATCTCCAGACAAGCGTTGAAGATGGGCATTGTAGAAAAAAATGTTCAAGTGTTTCATTTATCTTGTGGGATGGAAAACCCCCCAGGAAGGATGCGCACCATGGGAGGGCCATGCCTTTCTGCTCCAGGCTGGAGTGGTCAATGAGCCATGCGTTTGTGGGGAGGCAGCGGTGTGCAATTTGCCATTGCAGCGAGGCCAGTTTGGCAGGTTTGCACTTGGTCTCATTGAACCATTTGATCGGTCTCAAAGCTTCCAGTGGTACGTTTAGATGCTTTGTCCATCGGTCCACAATTCGATCTTTTAGATGAATGTGAGATCTTAATAAACTGTACGTGGCCTTAACCCCCAAGCTGTGCAGGTATCGGTACCGAGGTTGTGGGTCCCGCGAGGGAATCCTCCACCTCCATTCTTTCGGGTCAATGGGGAGTTTTTGGATGGGAAGCTCAGGCCTGAAGACAACCCAGCAGTCCCCCTCCTTCCACACTCTCACTCTGTGGATACCTGCCTTCGTGATCCGCCTCGTCCGGGGACCCGCATATCAACTGGTTCTGGCTGGTCCTATAGAAGAGGTTTATCAATGCTTCCTCTTGGTGGGTAGTCAGCACTTGACCAACCCGAGCCTCATCCCCTTCTATTGCCACCCAATCTCCTTCCAGAAGCACTGGGCCACGTCGCAATATCTGCAGTCATGCTAAGGGTAGGGAGAAGATGACTTCTTCTAGTTTTTCCCCAATCCGGTGACAATGTGGTAGTTTACTTCTGAGTTGGGATTCTGTTATTCAATCATTTTGTGTGTTGTCCCATATGTGTTCCACTTTGTGGACGTCGTTCTTGACCCAAGAGCTTCATGGTCTTCTCGAGCTTGTGAAGACTCTCCCCTATCTGTCTGTTATCCATCGATTTCCGAACAGAGGTTGGCGGAGTACCTCCTCCCACCTGCTGGGCGCTGGTCTGTCTGGGAGGGGGAGCCTCCTCCAGTCGTGGATCAAATGAGCCCAAAAATTGTCTTTTTTAAGGTCTGCGTGGGCTGCCGCCCAGTCTGAAAACGCGGCTGGCGTACGGGAGGATCTGGGAGCAGCCCAAAACACGTCGGCCAACCAGACCAAAGGATGCGTGGAGGGTTGGGACTCGGGGGCCAGCCGTGCTATTTGCTCTAATGCTAGAGGTTCCCATGGGAGGTTGGGTGTGCAGATTAATCTTTTTAGCCACTGTAGGGACAAGGTCGATGCTTGGTTATCTGGGTCAAGGATCCCTAAGCCGCCCCGGGATTTAGGTTGGACAATTGCCTCCCACGTTTTGTGTTTCATGATTGCCACGCCACAGGAATGCCGCAACTCATTGTCTTAGGGATCGTGAGGCTTCCCGGGACAAGGGCCAAAAAACGGACTTATACCAGAGAGATGTTAGCACCATGTTATTAATAACGAGGGCCCTGCCAAAGAGTGAGGTGTGTTTGTGTGTCCATGAGGCAAGCTTTTGGAGAGCCGGGTCCATTATCCATTTGTCATTGCAGTCCGGTTTCCCTGCAGCGAACAGTTGGATCCCCAGGACCCGGATCGGTGCCTCTAGTGGGTGCCAAGTGACCCTAGGCCACTCCGGGGGTCTGCCGCCATTGTGGTGCATCCACCATCCTAGGGTCTTACCGCTCCAGTTGACTGATATGTCTGAAAGCATGCAAAAGCGGTTCATCAGCCTCTCGATTTTTTCCATGTTCCGATGGGAGGCCTCGACAATCACAGTCAGGTTAGTTTGCCTTTGGAAATAACTTCAGGGCTAAATTGGTCCACCCTAAGGCTATCAGGCCACCTATGTCAGATTAGACACAAGATTGAATTTACCTGGACTGGTTAGTCCGATGATAATACCTCAAGGCCATCGCCCTTTTTTTTTAAAAAATTGTGGATTGCCTGTGCATTTTCGAGATTTGCAGGTTATAGCTCACAGTTCTTTGCCAATAGTGTTTCGATCCTACAAACATGCCGGGGGCCAAGTCCCACTAGCAACGTTGAGCTACCTCAACGCCTGAATGTGGGACTTGGCTCCGGCGTTTTCCTGTGCAGCAACGATAGTATACTGCCATAGATCTGTTTTGGAATTTTTTGTTTTTGGAGATTTTCCGGTGGTCTCATTGGAATGAAAATGTTATGTTTCTGCCAAAAAAAGGGGGGGCCCGCAGCGCTTCCGCCGGCGCAAATTAGCACTCGGACCAAGCGCTGGCCGGCCGGCAATGGCGACCAAGTTTCGACACCTCCCGCTTTCACCGTGACAGCGGTCTGGAAGGTGACGTCATCTGGTTCGTGCCTTAGCACGGGAACATGGTGTTGACGTTTTCGTCATTCCCCATGCCAGCTTTGACGCCATGCGAACAAGCGTGGTCTCCCTCACGGTACTTGTCTTGCCTTAGTAGATCTTATTACGAGTTCTCCATGCCTTGGTAATTCGAATTAGGAATTTGTTTCTTCTATTGGGTTTGGTCAACCTCGCTGGTCTAGACTATACGTAAGATAGGTTAATCCTCAAGCCTTGCGATATTAGGCGCCATGGAGGCCGAGCCCGGAGGGGTGGATGAACGGCGACAAGCTCGAAAGCGTTGGAGGAAGATAACGAACGGGTGAGGGAGCTGCTCCGCCTTTGCTATGAGGAGGGCATTCTCCCTAGCAACATAGATCCAAGAGAAATGACTGTACAAGGTCGGGGAGTCAGATTTAAAGTTAGAGAGTTTATCGATAGAATCAACGTGCAGTGGCTCAAGGAGCGAACCGTAACCATCATATTCAGAGAAGCAGCCCGGTTCCTCGCTAGGAGTGTCAAGGAAGACCTTATCAGAGCTTATGAGGATGAGCGACTCCAGACAGGTGATTTCGAGTCAAGCTTCCGACGGGGCAGAGTCAAGATTGAAAGCTTAAACGTTGCCTCGTACGTCGCCAAGAGTACTATCATCCATGATTGGCTGATCGAGAAGGAACAGGCCGAGATCGTCCTCGGTGGTTCTACCTACAGGTTGGAATTTAAGTCGTGGCTTACTTCAACACAACTCTGAGAACAGAGGAGATTAGATGATCTGGCCACTTTTTGGGTGATTGCGGTGCAAGTACCGCTTGACGCCATGTTTTATTTGGAGACGCAAGTTAGGAGAGCGATTGGACCAGTTACCCGCGTACATGCCGGAGCAAGACAGGCTCAAACCTTCGCTCGTCAACATCAAGTTCGAGTTGGAGCCGGATGCAAGACCTAACATGAAGGACTCCATCACGGTGGAGACCTTTGAAGGAGACGAACTCACTGTCAAACTGGCGTCGTCGGATACCCCTCGGTGACAACGGTGCCGCGCTTTCTTCCACACATCTGAGCAGTGCAGGCGCAATAACAACCGCTCGAGGCAGCAAGCAGGCACCCCTTCACAAACAGAAGGCCCGCCGATTGGACAAGAAGCAACTCCAAGGCCTAGTTATCAGGGTCCGCTGAGAGGAGGCGGGGCTCATCCTACAGCTTCGGTTCAAAGCCAGGCAGGACAATCAGTTCAAGGTGGCCCAGTGGTGGGGGCAGGTTACCCAAGCGTGTATCAGAACCCCTCCTTCTTGGCTTCACCTTACTCAGGACAAGTCAACGCTCTTTTGGCACAACTGCTCCAAGAACTGCCGCAAGCCGGGGGGCACCCGCTGATGCAACAGCCGCTGTTTCCTCAACAATCAGGCATATTTCGACCTCCTTTCAATCTGGATGCAACGGCGGGCTTTCGGCCATATCAACCAGTCCAGGGGCCTGGGTTTCAGCCCATGGCTCTGGCCGGAGGAGGTGGAAGAATTACTGACCAGTCAGTCAGTACGCAGCTCAATCAGGGAGGACCAGGTGGCGCCAGTAGCAGACATTTGAGAGGAGGTGAAGCCAGACAGGATCCAGAAGCATCGGGCGGAAGACTTCGGGGTGATACTCCGGGGAAACATCGCAGAGGCGAGAGTAGTGGTTCAGATTTACTTCGAGAAGAATCTATAACCTCTACACCAAGATCGGAGAACTCAGGTGAGGGAGAAACAATCATTGGCACTCCGGGCATGAAGACCACAAGACGAAGAACTCCTACCTCCTTGGCCCGTGGGCAGCTTAACATTGTGGAGCAAAAGATTCTGCCCATTATGTGCACAGCGCTAAGAAGCAGCTTTTGGGTTATTGCTTGGAACGGCACGGACGGAGTACCGGAGTTATTCAGTACTCCCTCCCCAGAGCAACCGATGCCTACGACTGTCACCCAGATTGTCCAGATGGCGGTCAGAGGCAAGTTTTTTGTACGACTCATTCCAGACGAGCCAATGGCGAGATTCGTGCTCGACCTTCCGGACGGAAGGAAACTCAAATTCTTCGCTCCTATTCTGGATGCTCGTATCCTTGAGGTGCAACTGATGCAGTTGGAACAGAAAGGTCTCAGACTACTGTCGATGATATGGTTTGCAGAAGGCCGTAGACAGGAGCTATGCAGGATCAGGGTTCCGCCATTTCGTTCGGCAAAATTCTTAACGCAGCTTGACGGAAAACTGGCGAGAGACAAGAAGTTCAATTCGAAGTTCCTTCGTGAAGTTCTCACGAAGCCGTGGGAGCCCGAGCCAGCGAACGCAAGTACGGTGATGCCAATCCAGGGAGCAGGGGGAGTCACCTTGAATGGGTAGACTCAAGCTCGCCACATGGAATATGCGAGGCTTTGGTGATTCAGGAGGAAAGTTAAAAAAAACCAGGCTTAAGTCGTGGATACATGAGAAGAGAATCCAAGTGATCTGCCTTCAAGAATGCAAACTTAACGAGCAGCGCATCGTGGATTTGGGGCCTTGGTGGGATGGACCTCAGATTTGGTCCCCCTCGCAAGGCACCAGAGGTGAAGTGGCGATTCTTCTCCACCGCGAGGCTGGACTAGAGATTATAGACTACTACGCGGACCTATGGGGACGCTGGGCATGGGTCAAACTGTGGATCGACAATAATGAGTCGCTCATTACCTGTATTTATGCTCCGACAGAAAGGAAAGAAAGGGACAGGTTTTTTGAGGATTTTTTATCTATTATACCGGACTGCGCTAATTCTATAATTGTAGGGGATCGGAACACGTCCTTGGATTTAGCGGCTCCTAGACCAGGTAGTCAGACTCCGGCAGACATTAGCTCCCTCCTTAACCTTATGGACAGGCTAACTCTGATCGATCCTTACAAACTAGCGAACCCACAGGACGATAGTTATACGTGGCACTCTAACTTCCGTGAAGGCATTGGCATTATAAGGAGGCGCTTAGATTACTTTCTCATCTCTGAACACCTGTGGGAGCAGGTAGAAGTAGTGAAGGAGGAGTCTCAACCGTGTTCGGACCACAAGCCGGTTGTCTTACAATTGCACACATCTGAAGCTGCCCGTGGAAAAGGTTACTTCAGGTTCAATGTGCAGAACTTGGAAGACTCAGGATTGGTTGAATGGATGAAGACCTTTTGGCAAGAATGGTCGCAGATGAAACAGAGGTACCCCACGTCAGAAGAATGGTGGCAGGTGGGTTCGGTGACGTTCTCGAACCACCTGAATATCTACTCACGAATACTGGCAGCAGGCAGGAAGAACGAGGAGAGAGTACTGGAAAGGAAGATAGCAGATGCGGAGCGGAGAATGAACGGCCATCCGATCTCCCAGGTACCTTGGGGACGAGAAAGAGTTAAGCTGATTGCAGAATGGGATGCTCTGCAGCAAAGGAAGTCAGAGTACTGGGCGGAGCGGCTAAGAGTGAGAGGGATTGCGGTATATGATAGAATGAATAAGGAATCCTTCCAAAGGTTGGTGTCAAGACAGGCAGCTCAACCAATTGTTGAATTAGCCCACCCCTTTGACCCACAGGCCCCACGGGCGAAGGATTTAGCTAATTTAAGTGAATACGCCACCCTGTACTATAAGGATATCCTTACGTCCAGATTGCAAGATAGGGATGTTGATGTAGAGCTCTATCTAAGTTCTTCTCACTGGGATAATAGCTTGGATAGACTGCCACAGTCCACTCGTCTCTTGTTAGACAAAACCATAAGAGTAGAGGAAGCGCTTCAAACGCTGAAATCTATGGCACATGGGAAAGTCCCTGGGGACGATGGTATGCCAGTAGAGCTATATCTAGCAATCTGGGAGGAGATAGGGGACAGCCTAGTGGAAATTTACAATTCAATCCTGACAGGGGGAGGTCTCTCAAAGAACATGCGCAACGGAGTCATTTCGGTTCTTTACAAGAAAGGAGATAAAGCAGATGTAAGGAATTATCGGCCAATAGCGCTGTTGAACGTGTCATATAAGCTCCTAGCCAAGACTCTTGTGCGGTGACTGAGTCTGATTCTACCGACGCTAGTGAAGGAAGACCAAGCAGCTTTTGTCCGAGGCAGATCTATTTTCACCAATATTGTGACAGCGGTCCAGGCCTTGGAAATTATAGCCAGTTTAGATCTGGACATGATGGTGTTACTCCTAGACTTGGAAAAGGCATACGACCGGGTGAACTGGTCGTACGTCCTCTCTACGCTTAAATGGCTTAATTTCGGTGATAACTTCTGCAACTGGGTAACAGCACTGTACGTCTTTTCGACAGCAGCAGTAGCAGTGAACGGGAAAATCTCGAATCAGTTTTGTTTGACCCGCTCCCTCAGACAGGGGTGCCCGCTTGCACCTCTGTTGTTTGTAATCCAGCTAGAGGTGTTACTGAACAATATCAGAACGCACCCTCTCATTCAGGGCCTCCCGCTAGGTAACTCGGACTGCCGCGCTAAAGCATTGGCGGATGACCTGTTGGCAATCTCTAGGAACACTCCAGAATCGTTAGGTGCACTCAAAGACTGCTTAAACGAGTATTGCAGACTATCTGAAGCATCAGTAAATTGGCACAAATCAGTTTTTCTGCTTCCAAACCGGTATACCCCGAGGGCAAGTTGGGGAATGAGGCAAGTAGGGATGAATGAATCGGAGAGGTTTTTAGGTGTTCAAATAGCTCTGATGGACTGTTCGGCGGACCAAGACAGCTTATTACTCCAGAAGGTACTGCACAGATTGGCTATTTGGGGAAAGGCTCTCCACCTATCGATCTTCGGCAGGGCCATGGTCTTGAACTCCTCACTGTTTTCCTTGCTCTGGTTTGTTGGGGCGGTAAGAAAGCTCGGTCAACAACTGATCCCGATGATGAAACGGCGAGCAGCAAAGTTTCTCTGGAAACCCTACTCGACCGAAAATGAAGGCTTCATTTCAAAGATAGCATGGGATCTAATCTGTTGTCCGCGAGATGAAGGTGGCCTTGGCATGACAGACCCGGATAGACGGAATGCTGCGATGCTGGTAAGATGGATCACCGCTGCAGCTTCGTCTAAGGAGGCGGAACATTGGGTGTTGCTAGGGGAAAGAATCCTTATGGAAGAATGGCATCTATCTCGCCCTCAGGATGTCTGGACCGCCTTCTTAATGTATTCGTACCAGAGGAGAGTTATTCATTCCCCGTTCTGGGCTCCTATTATCAAGGCATGGTGCAAGCTACGACCAGACGTCTGGGAACAGCCAGTCACAAAACAGGAGGTATTTAACGAACCAATATTCGAGAACCCCCATATTCGGGACACCTCAGGGAACTGGCTGAAAGCAGACTCGGCCCCTGGTAGCTTCGGCAGACAATGGATGGAACGAGGAGTCGCCACCATTAGAGACTTGTGGGATCACATCCTCAACCGCTGGAAAACCAAGTCGGAACTACAAACTCTCTGGGAGCAGCCAGACACTTGGAGGAGAAGTTAGCAGCAGTAATGGCCGCAATCCCAGAAGCCTGGAAGAATCTAATTGATCCAGCAGGGTTAGACTCTCCCGGTACTTGGTATCAGTCCTCTGCAGACCAGCCTCTAACGGAGTTCTGGAAACTCATCGCATATTCGGAAGGAAGGAGAGTATTTCAATGCTGGCAAGCACAGACGGACACAACGGAGCCGCAACTGTTAAGCCTGGTGGAAGATAGGCAACCGGGAACTGGGAGAGAGACTAGCGCAGGTAAGAGTTTTGGAAGAACAGGATGGAAAGGGCAATCTGACATGTACAGTCTTACTGGATGGAATGCCAGTATCAACACTGAGGCTAGATCTGACACTGTGGACTTGGAGAGCAAGGGGTAGGAATGGAGAGAATTTGCTGTTGACCAAATACCAGTCACAACTGGGTTATAAGCTCTTAGACCCCCCCACGTCAGCCTCTGGCAGTAGCGGTTAGTAGATGGATGCAAGTCCTCCAGCTCCCACCGGACAAAATCAGGTCAGCCATTTCAACATGCTGGGAACAACTACAGCTTATCTCCAACCAACGGCAAGTGGTGCTCTGGCTTCTTTCCCTCCTTGCAACCCCGTCAGCAGTGTGGTTAGCACAGAGAGGGCTTCAGGTTTAGCTAACTTGTCACAGATGCCAGTGGGCGTTTGAATCCACCCCTCACCTGTGGTGGGATTGTCCGAGCTCTCACCGCATCTGGAAGTGGTGGAATGGTTTTTGGTCTAGAGTAGCTGACAAGAGCTTGGAATGGTCCAGAGAATGGGTTTTATTAGGAGGCATTCCGGACTCTTTGCAGAAAGAAGCAGGGTGGGGCTACGTTGCGCAATCAGCCAGAGCAGTAGGAGTGGAAGTGATTTGGAAGGAGAGGAATAACAGGATTTTCAACAACAGAGAACTCACTAATAAAGAAATACGGTTCTCCTTCCGCACTCTCCTACGCAGAGCCGTCCAGGCTGACTGGAGGCGGAAGAACTGTGGAACAAGTGAGGCCGGAAGGAGATGGTTTGCCCGCACTTGGTGCATTGGGGATAAGATAGCCCGGATATCGGCAACAAATAAACTAGATTTGGATCAATGGTTCTTTGAGAAGTAGCCTAATTAAGAGAGGACTTTTCGTAGGAGGAACCTGGGTGCTCGGTTCTGAGATCCACAGTAGGAAGGCAGGGGGATTGTAAGTGGAGGGAGCGCCAGTAGTGTCTGTTGACTCTTCRGTCCYGHGGGTCCGTCTGTCGTGTTAGACAGATCAAGATTGGTGTAGGTAGTCATATAAGATAGACAGTAGTTAGAACTTGGAGATTAGTTAGCTACTTGGGTAGCCTAGGGGTAACTTGCTTTTGGGGTTGTTTGGTTTTGATGGCTTGATGCATATTTTGTTTCTCAGGAGCGGTTTCAGGCCAGCGGTCCAGAATTGGCCATTTCTGTGCCTAGATCAGCCGACTCCTAAGCTAAACTGGCTGATGCTGCCAGGATAACTCCGGGTTGAATTGTGAGGTCCCCGGCCTCGAGTTTTTACAGATGAATAAAGGTTTTGGTTAAAAAAAAAAAAAAAAAAAAAAAAAGGTTATGTTTCTCCAAAAAAAAAAAAGAAAAAAGAAAAAAAAAGAAATAAAAAACGCACCAACGGAAAAAAAAAAAAAAACCCCACCAACGTATTGCTCCCGTTCATACGGTTGGCCGACTAACTGTCCAAATACAGGCCGGAGTTTAATTCCAGCCATTATCAGATGATGACCAGAATAAAATCATTCCATTTATGCGTGTCATCCTTGCGCCGGATGTCCCTCTCTGTATCGTTCCAAACGAAGGACACATGAAAACGTTCTGAATTAGCTGTGCCCGAAAAACGAAATGAGAAAAAAAGGAATCGGCTGCACGGTTTGGTCCCGCCGGGGTTCTCCGTTCTCCACCGGATCAAGAACGAGTTGGCCCCCGATAACGGGGCTAGGTCCCACTTACACGAATTAGGCGATATTGACCGTAGATAGCACAGATCAACGGCCAGAATCTCTTAATCCGGGCAAGTGGGACCTTGCCCACGGTCCGGAGGAAAACAAAGGACCTTGTGTGATTGTGATGTGAGTAATTAGCGAGAGTAGCTAGTAGGCAGGACGACACCGGGCTTCGTCCATGGAGATGTGTGAAGAAGCTGACAGGTCGTCATCACGGAAAATCGACTGGGGGTTGTTCGTTATCCGAGTGAGTCTTTCTTGCTGCCGGGTCGGAGACGCACTTGGTTGGTGTACACGTAGGACGAAAGAAGTAAAAGAAGTGAGTGGTGTACACGTGGCCGCTCTTCGGCTCGCCGTGTCTGTTCTGTCTCGCCTCTGGCTGTTCCTGGGAGTTCTCTTTGCATGCGGGCTGTTTTGAAGGTTTCACTGGCGACGATTACACAATGCTGCCAACGTAAGGTACGTCCTCTCTCTCTCTCTCTCTCTCTCTCTCTCTCTCTGTGTTTCTGTCTGTCTGTCTGTCTGTCTGCCTCTCTGGGGTGACAATGAAGTCGGGTTCGCATTGTTGCAGGCTCAGCAATGAAGTTTGGTCTTCTTGTTCTGTTTTTTTTTTTTTTTTTTTTTTTTTTTTTTTTTTTCTCTTTTTTTTAATTGGCTCTCAACGAAGCAGGGCAGTCGATTAGTTATGGAGTGAAGGGATTTCTCTCTCTCTCTCTCTCTCTCTCTCTCTCTCTCTTCTGTCTCTCTCTCTCTCTCGCTTTCTCGTGCGCGCGCGCTCCCGCGCACGCATGCCCGCTCGGCCTCTCGCGTCATTGTTGTACGTCCCGGCCTTCACGGGTCATTGTGTCTTCTTCCTCTCTTTCTCTTCTCCCCCCCCCCACCTCCTGTCTCTTATACACATCTAGATGTGTATAAGAGACAGCGCCGTGTCTGTTCTGTCTCGCCTCTGGCTGTTCCTGGGAGTTCTCTTTGCATGCGGGCTGTTTTGAAGGTTTCACTGGCGACGATTACACAATGCTGCCAACGTAAGGTACGTCCTCTCTCTCTCTCTCTCTCTCTCTCTCTCTCTCTTCTGTCTCTCTCTCTCTCTCGCTTTCTCGTGCGCGCGCGCTCCCGCGCACGCATGCCCGCTCGGCCTCTCGCGTCATTGTTGTACGTCCCGGCCTTCACGGGTCATTGTGTCTTCTTCCTCTCTYTCYCKYCTCCCCCCCCCCMCCTCTTYCCGCCRTCCCTCCCCCCCCACACCTTCCCCTCCCCCCTTCCTCCCCTCTCTTCAGCCGCTTCCCTCCCCCGCCCCGCCCCCCTCTTATCTGGTCGTGTCGCTGATTGTAGGTGCCTGCGATTCCAACGACTGGGACCTCGAGCGGGAGCAGGAAGGGTGAGTCAGGGAAAGGAGGATGGAGAGAGAGGGTTTTGTGTAGAATAGAGAGAGGGTTTTGTGTAGAATAGGTGGACAAGTCGAAGCTTAGCAACAGAGGTTGAGGAGCAAGAACAGTAGGCGAAGGTCACTGCAGAGACCTGGCATTCAGATTCGTCGAGTCTTTTTTTTTTTTCTTTTTTTTTTCAGATTTGTCGAGTTCTGTTACTTCGTTTCTGTGTCATATGGTATATGATTAGGCATGGCATACGATGACGTGGCACGTTCCTAGGGCTTGCTCTTTCGC